TTCCCTTTTCCCGTATGTTTCTTACGGTGTGCGCATGTATATCTATTTATCCTTCTTTCTCCGGCTCTTCTTTTACGTATCCGCTCGTTTCTCTCTCCGTGTCCCTCTATGAGCCTCGCTCCACGACAGAACGCTCTAGGGGGAGAACTTTTTTCGTGTAACGCAAGCACGGCCTTTTCCGCCGATTTTCAATGGATCTGAGGTCTCCTGGCCTTTCACGTGATCCATCGCTGAAAATACAAACCAAAACGAAACGAAAATCAGAAACTAAGGGTAAACCACGGCGACAAACGCGGCCAACGAAAAGAACTGTTCATTCATCCCGTCCGTTTCTCGCTGCGCGACAGGCCAGTATAAATAAACCACGTAGTCCGGGCATGCGCGATCGACCATTCGCGATTTCCACGATTCAGGGTGTCCGCTAGCGCGCGAAACGGCCACGAACACGTAACACAAAGCGGCAGAGAGGTTATCGATAACGGCTCCGAGAAAGCAGGACCGAGTGGGCCAGAAGGAAGTCGGACGTCTCCGCGAGTGGATCGAACCGAATATTAAAGCCTTTATTTTTTCTGGCCCCCACTACCGCAACGTTTTCCGCGAGAGAGAGAGAGAGAAGCAGAGAGGAAGAAAGGCGCACGACGAGAGCGGCAGAGATCGGTGGACTCGAAAGAGAGGAAAAGATCTCGCAAAAGGAAAAAAGACAGCGAGTCCCAGAGAGGAACACGAGGAGGAGAATGAGAAAAAGCGAATGTCATTGCCGTAATCTTCGGACGTTGACTTCCTCCTGACTCGTCCCTCCTACCTCTTGGTCACGAGCCCCCTCCATCCGCCGCGCCCCCCTCCTACACGCCCCCCTCCCCCGCCTGGTTGTACTCTTTGTCCTCTCCTTCTCACCTGCGCGCTCCTCTTCGCGATTCCCTACCTGCGTCTCGCTTACTCCTATATCCCCTTCACCTTTCCGCACTCCCTCTCTCTTTAACGCGCGACGGTTAGAGCTCTGTCCTTCTCGCTTTCCAGCCCTTTTTCTCTTTAACTGTGGCTCGTTACGCCGGTTCGCAGTCTCAAATATTTTCGTAACGATTCGCGCATCGAGTTCCACCGGCGTGGTTCGAGGGATTTTTTCCGGTAAACATCGGCATATGGATCAGAATTAAGAACCATGTTACAAAATATTACGTCTGCTCGGGGACGAGGGGAACGACACAATTGGCCTGGTACCGTGATGTGAATTTTAAACGAGTTATCCGAGTCCGTGAATAGAATTCGTTAAAAATTTCACGAGTACGCGATCAATCCGTTCACCCGGTCGGTTCTTTAGCGAACAACGTTTTCGGTGGAGAAATTGGATTATGCAGAGCGATCAGAGCGGATTTCACGAATGGATATTGCGAAGCGATAAATCGTACGACTTATGTACGAAGTGAACTTGACTATCGGTGTTTGGTTCGTTCGGTATGAGACGAGTTCGAACGAGTCGAGTTGACGCGTCTTCGGGCCTCCGAGGGTAAAAATAAGAGGTCGAAAATCGATAGAGGCGAATTAATTTTAGTCGTGCCCTTTTTGATTCTCGCGAGTGTAAATATAACGGGAGGTATTGGTAATGGAGATTTGAAGTTACACGAGAGACGAGTGCTTGAGTAAATAAATAATCGAGTCTGAAACATTGGAAATTGGAATGAGAAGTCGAAGCATTATTTACGGGTAACGGGTTAAGCGTTTGAAATACGTGACGAGAGGTGGCCAATAGACGAATTTCTTTTTGGTTCCTTTGATCGATCACAGATTGCGCCTCGAGTCGATTTCCGGTGACTACCATGTTTAGCCGGTGATACGCATTTATTAGGCGAAGAGATTTGATTCGTAGATAAGTTGCCATTATAGTCCATTAGGAGTTGAAATTTATAATGGAATTCGTAAACCTTTCGTCGTTAATATTATATCATCCATTAAATCGCTGTACTGCATTAATTAAATTTAGAAGATCGAATTAGCGAGCTCGTATGAGAATCATCAGACATTCGAATATTTAATGCTGAAATTAAATATTTTAAACAAAAATTCAAATACCTCGGTAAACTAACTAACGCTAAAATTCCAGAAGTTAAATCAACGTAAACTATTTTAAAAAGCTACGATATACCGATTTATCGAAAAGCAGGATCACGACCTTTCAGACGCGTCTAGCACGAACTGCATGATTTATATCTCACTAAACATAACATTACCCTATCCTCGATATAACGCTACGGGAACCTTAATATAGGATGCATTTATCAAACATTTGTTCGTTCTGCTACACGAGAAAGCGTGCCCTAACTCTGTGCATAACCTAACCCCAAAACAGTCTTTATACACGTGTATACTCCATCCCAACCTCAAACTGACGTTTTACGTCTCGGATTTAAACCTAACCCTAGAAACTCTTCTTTCGCGAACACGAATGCACCGTAATACATCAATCCGTATATCCGCGATTGAAAACCGACCCATACCACCCTCCATAAACGTTGGACCGAACGCGAGCCAGCGAACGACGTCTCGCTGACAGCGTAACTCGGAATTACGACTGCTCCGCGGCTGGCGCTGCCGCTTGTCCTCGTATTTCAACAATCGGCTTTTTCATGGTGCGCCACGGCCCAGCCGCGGCAAAGGACGAAATCACGGTCGAGCACGGGGCCAGCGGGCTATGATTCAAAGTCTCGCGGTGTATGCATGAGAGAGGCGTACGCGCCGCGGGATATACATTACCCACGGTATAATCCGCTGCGCGAATGATTTATAAATCGAGTGAATCACGATTTGGCACGAAGCAAAAACGGTAATCGCGAATTAGCATTTGCATCAAAGGGTTGGCACGGCGCGAGAGAGAACAAGTGAGAAAGGGCGGCGGGACGGTTAGAGGGTGGAGGGGGAAGGGAGAAGGGAGAAGGGAGGAGGGCTCGCAGGCACGCATACACACGAGGCAGAGCCCTTGTCCGACAAATCGGTCGCGTAAAGGCGTGCTTTAAAGAGAGAGAAGGCTGGTCCGAATGGCGGTTTCGCGGCCTCGCAGACGGTCATTTGTCTCCTGCAACGCCAGCCTCGGTTCCGCGTTCCATCCGCGTCACAAGTCAGTGCGTTCACCTTGCCTCGAGTTATCAAAATCGGATCCGAAACGATAGCCCGTACACACGCGTATTCTTGGA